CTCGCACGCGCACTCCGCAGGCTTCACGCGGCAGCTGGTGATGTTGGGCTACAGCCTTGCCTCCCGCGGCAACTGTCCTTGGTTCTCGCACGCGCAATCCGCGGGCTCCTTATGGCAATTGATGACGATGGGTTCCTTCTTCACCTCCAGTGGCCCCCGTCCTTCCTTCTCGCACGCGCAGTCCGCAGGCCCCCCACGACAGCTGATGATGTTGAATGTTTGTTTCGCCTCCAGCGGCCACTGCCATTTCTTCTCGCACACGCTGTCCGCAGGCTCCACACGACAGCTGATTGCGATGGGCATGTGCTTCGCCTCCATCTGCAGACGCTCTGCTTGCTCGCACGGGCTGCCTGTGGGCGTGACACAGCCACTGACGCTGGGTTCCTACTTTGTCTCCTGCGCCCACTGCCTGTTTTTTCTCGCACGCGATGTCCGCTGGGTCCCCGTGGTACCACCGGGGGGGTGCCCTGCAGCCAGTGCTCGACCGAATCTAGGGGAACGAACAATGACATAAGCATAAAAACTCGGAGGCCCGCGCGGATTTCTCGGATCGGCGCTCGAGCCCCCTCCCTGGCTCGCGGAGCGCGCCAGGGGCGGCGCCGGAGGCGCCACCAGGGGGCCGCAGCGCCGATCCAAGAAATCCGCGCGGCCTTTCGAGTTATCTGTTTATGTCATTGTTCGTTCCCCTGGAGTTGCCCTGCAGCCAGCGCTCGACCGCTTGGGAAGGGCTGGCCGACAGGGCGCCCCGCTGCAGGCCGCAGCTCCAGCCGAAGGCCGCTCGCCCGTGGGTGGCTTCAAGCAGTCCCGCGGTGGGTCCCCGTGGCACCGCGAGGGGAGCTGCCCTGCAGCCAGTGCTCGACCGCTGCGGCAGGGCTGGCCGACGGGGCGCCCCGCTGCAACACCACATTGCGGCGGGGCGTTGGAGTCGGAAACGCCCAAGGGCGTGGAGCCTCCCCCTCGGCTGCGTCCGAGCTCGCAGCTCCAGGGGAGTGCTTCGAGCTTGAGCTAAAAGGGCTACGGAGGATGAGGGAGGAGAAGGAGGAGGAGGAGGAGGAGGAGGAGGAGGAGGAGGAGGTAGGAGGAGGAGGAGGAGGAGGAGGAGGAGGAGGAGGAGGAGGAGGAGAGGGAGGAGAATGGGGAGGTTAGAAGGAGGATGGAGAAGGATGGGGGAGGTCTGAGCTTGTCGGTTCCCCTCCCCCGATGGTGAAGCTCACCCACCCGGTGGGCACGAACTGAATAAAGGCGAGCCGGAGCCACCGGTCGCTCGGCCGCCCCGAGGGGGCCCCAAGGGGGCCGAGCAAGCGAAATGCCGTCGTCGTTATCACTCCTCCTCCTCCTCCTCCTCCTCCTCCTCTCCTCCTCCTCCTCCTCCTCCTCCTCCTCCTCCTCCTCCTCCTCCTTTCCTACCTCCTCCTACCCCTCCTCCCTCCTCACTCCTCCTCCTCCCCCTCCTCCCCTCCCTCCTCCTCCCTCCTCCTCCTCCTCCTCCTCCTCCTCCTCCTCCTCCTCCTCCTCCTCCTCCCCCTCCTCCGTGATTCCAGTGTTGGGGGTGGCACCTTGTCCACGGTTGCTGTGGTGCTGCGCAGCTGTACGCACTGGTCGTTCTCGGTGGCGATCGGCTTGGGTGTATCGGCTGTTTTTGGTTGTCGTATCCCCCACCGTACCACTTCATGTTTGTGCTGGTTGCTTGGTGTCACTACGTCATGCGCGCCATGGCTCGCTGGTTGCGTTTTTACGTGGTTCTCGAGATGGGCATCGCTGTGCATACGCTCATATATGACGTTGGCGAGAACGTGGTGCAGCGTTTTTGCAGCAAAATGGTTTGGGCCTTCCTCGAGGTGTTCGTGGTGATCGTGCTGCTCGCGCCCGCCCAAAGATGCCCTTCATGGTTGGTACTCATCAGACCCTCCTCTGTGATCCTCCTCCTTTTCCTCCTCCTCCTCCTCCTCCTCCTCCTCCTCCTCCTCCTCCTGCTCCTCCTCCGCAACCCTCCTCTTCCGCAACCCTCCTCCTCCATCCCTCACCCTTACAAGCAAAGTGTCCCCTTGTCGCACCACCAGGCGTGCCCCCAGGCCAGGCCAGGCGTGTGGCTGCAGATTTCCCTACGGCCTGCTGGCCCGAAGCTGAAGCTCGAAGGGTGGAGGGCCAGCAGGTGTCAAACTGCGGCGCTCGCCCGAACGCCGCGCACACTCGCGCCACAGGCTCCCAACAGTTGCAGGGATAGAGGCCTGCGCGTCTCTCAACTGTGGCTCTCCTCCTCCCCCTCCCCCTCCCTCCCCCTCCTCCTCCTCATCCTCCTCCTCCTCCTCCCCCTCCCCCTTCTCCTCCTCCTCCTCCTCCCCCTCCTCCTCCTCCTCCTCCTCCTCCTCCTCCTCCTCCTCCTCCGCCGCCGCCGCCGCCGCCGCCACACGCCGCACGCCGCACGCCGCGGCTTCCAACAGTTACAAGGACGGAGGCCTGCGCGTCTCCAGAGCTGTGGCTCTCCCCTGAGCCTTCCTCACATCCTAAATAATCCGAAGTTCCACGCTGCGCAACAGATACACAGGATGCGTGGCGGCTGCTTTTCGCCGTTGTGCTCCTGCCTGAGACGTCCTCCCATCCTATGGCCCGAAGTTCCCATATGCGCAACAGCTACGACACTGATGGAGGGCGACTCCCTTTCGACATGGGGCTCTCGCTTGAGACGTCTGCCACTTTTCTGGCAAGAATTTTGAAACTGTGCAATGCTCCCACGGATGGGTAGAAGATCCACCTGAAAATGGACAACCGATGGACACGTCATTGACCTTGAGTGTCCTGATTACAAAGTTGCGCTTCTTTTCGCTGAGATGGTGATGGACGGCGGCGGATGATTTACACATCGGAGTCTCGCCTGAGTGGCAGCCCAACCAGGCGCTCGTCATTCACGGGGAGCGCTTCCGGCAGTGGAAAGGAATCCTGGTAGAGACTTGTGGGGATGAGGCTTGGGACGGGAAAGTGTGTTGTAGCATCGTTGATGCATCCTGGGCTTCTGGTCCATGATCATACTTCCCCCTATCCGGAAAATCCCCGTCCTCCTCCTCCTGCTACGACACAACCTCCTCCTCCTCCTCCTCCTCCTCCTCCTCCTCCTCCTCCTCCTCCTCCTCTCTCCTCCTCTCTACCCTCCCCCTCCGCCTCCTCCTCCTCCTCCTCCTCCTCCTCCTCCTCCTCATCATCATCAGCAGCAGCAGCATAATCACCAGAATCATCGTCATCATCATCATCATCATCATCATCATCATCATCAGCAGCAGCATCCGCATCATCAGCAGCAGCAGCAGCATCACCATCATCAAAAACACAGCATCATCAGCATCATCAGCATCATCATCATCATCAGCAGCATCATCATCATGATCAGCGTCATCTTCATCGTCATCATCATCAGCCTCATCATCACATCATCATCCTCATCATCATCATGATCATCAACATCGTCGTCATCCCCACCATCATCATCATCATCAGCAGCAGCAGCATCCTCATGTTCAGCATCATCATCTTCTTCTTCACAATCACCATTATCATCATCATCATCGTCATCATCATCATCAGCCTCATCATCAGCATCATCAGCATCGTCGTCATCAGCATCGTCATCATCATCACCATCATCATCAGCATCATCATCATCCTCATCACCATCTTCATCACCATCATCATCAGCATCATCATCATCACCGTCGTCGTCATCAGCAACAGCAGCAGCAGCAGCCTCAGCATCATCATTAGCATCATCATCAGCATCATCAGCATCATCAGCAACGGCATCTGCATCATCATCATCATCATCATCATTACCCTCTTCATCATCAGCACGTCGTCATCATCATCGGCATCAGCATCAGCATCATAATCAGTATCCCCTTCATCATCGCAATCCTCCTCATCATCTTCATCATCAGCATGATCAGCATCAGCATCAGCGCCCTCATCATCCTCATCATCAGCAGCATCATCATCAGCAGGATCTACAGCAGCATCGTCTTCGTCGTCATAATCATCAGCAGCAGCAGCAGTATCATCATCATCAGCGTCATCGTCGTCATCATCATCATTATCATCAGTATCATCATTATCATCAGCATCAGCATCAACAGCAGCAGCATCAGCATCATCAGCATCATCATCGTCATCATCATCATTATCATCGTCATCGTCATCATCAGCAGCATCATAATCAGCATCGTAATCAGCAGTATCGTCATCAACATCATCATCATCAGCAGCAGCATCATCATTACAACTATCACGATCACCATCAACAGCATCAACAGCATCAACATCAGCAACATCATCATTATCAGCAGCAGCATGATCGTCGTCATCGTCATAATCATCAGAATCAGCAGCAGCAGCATCATCATCCTCGTCGTCATCATCATCAGCATCATCATCACCATCATTATTTTGCTATGGTCCTTCCTTTCTGCATCCCCTCCACCCTCCTCCTTGCTCTCTCCCTGCCTCGTTCACCCCGTCCTCCCGCCTCCCCACTCAGAGGCCAGAAGTCCGACAAAAGTGTGGAGAACCTGCTGGTTTGACGGCACGTCGGTGTTCTGTCTGGCCGAGCTGTATTGTTCTGTTTGGCCTGAGGGGGAGATTTGTTGCTCCTGGGCACCCTGAGCCCGCTCTCTGGAGCCTCCCTTTAAAAAACCTTGAAACTCCCCACCTAGAACTCCTCTAGAACCCTCGGGTTAGAACATCCTCCTCCTCCTCCTCATCATCATCATCATCATCATCAGCATCATCATCACCACCATCATCATCATCAGCAGCATCATCATTATCAAACTCCTCCTCCTCATCCTAAGCTGATGCTTGCCTGGACACGCCCGTGGGTCCTTTACCCTCTCCTACCTGGGGTCTTAACTCGAACGACCCCTGCGCGTTCATCCCCCGCCCCAGGGGCTCTGGCAACGGAGGCCCGGTATTGAACCCAATTGCGAAGCCGTGCGGGTTCCCCCCCCCTTTCCCCATCATTCTCTATCCTCCGTCCCTCCCTCCCTCCATTGTGGACGCCCGAAATGGGTACGGAAAAATGGGTACAATGCCCAACAACACATGTTGTCCCAAACCAACAGCGGCCGCTGTTGGGCAGGCGGCCTTCTGTCTCGAATGGACACAGGCCGCGGCGGCGTGGGCAACGAGTCCAGCTCAAAATGAACAGGAGCTGATGTTGGGCATTGTACCGATTCTTTCCGTACCAATTTCGTTCGTGCCGATCCAATATCCCCCCTCCCTCCCTCCCTCCTCGCCCTCCGTCCCTCTCTCCCTCCTTCGATCTCGGCCCAGGGGCACACGGAAGGGGGGAGCCCACACACACACACACACACACACACACACACACACACACACACACACACACACACACAAGCACGCACGCACGCACGCACGCACGCACGCACGCACGCACGCACCCACTCACACACACACACACTTTTCCGTCGGCGGCTAGGCAGAGCCACTGCGCTGGCGATGGGGCGTACCCATCGGTCGGAAGAAGTAGGTAGAAACATGAAGTAGGAAGGCGTTGGAAATAGATTGGGTTTCCGCACGCCTCCTGAAGAGGAAGGAAGAGGGAAAACCACTCGACTCTTGGAGTAGGAAGGCGCTGAAAGTAGATAGGAATCTGGGAATCCAAAAATACCTACTTTCAACGACCGATGGGTAAGTGGGATGCACGAAACGCGAATTAAGCCGCAACGCACACACACACACACACACACACCGCACGGGGGGACCCCCCGGCTTCGGGGCTGGTGTCCACAGCTTCGCCGCCTCTGCCCGGGCCGGCCATGTGACGCGAACTCTGCCCAGAGACGCTCGGCTCGGCCCCCCTCCCTCACTCCAGGGGTTGGGCCCCAAGCGGCAGCCCAGCGCCCGTGGAGCTGGAGCAGGGCGAACGCGTTCGCGATCCACGAGAGGATGGCCCCGGAGAGGCTCTCGTCGTGCGGGTAGGTCAGCTCGGCCCCCAGCTCGTACAGCAGCGGCCCCATGACCCCCTCGGCCAGGCTGGCCACGACCTGGGGAGACCAAAAGAAGTATCGACGTCGCTGCTCCCCGGCCCTCTCCTAGGGTGCGTCATGACCAGACTTTCGAGGCGAATCCAGCGGAGGAGGAGGAGAAGGAGGAGGAGGAGGCAAGGCGGCCCAAAACAAGGCCAGGGCAGCGGTGTCGGCACCTTTTTGCCTGCCCCTGGCGACCAGCAGCGCGATGAGCACGCTGGCCGAGCCGCCCCCCCCGCCGGGCAGCGGGGACCCAGGCATGAGCACGAAGAAGGGCACGAAGCCCACGAGCTGCAGCACGAGCGAGTACCTAATGGCCGCCCCGATCCGCCTCCGCATCCCGAGGGCCTCCAGCAGCGGCCCCGCCAGCAGGTTGCCCGCGAGCGACGTGCACCCCATGACCACCGCGAACCATTTCAGCAGGGCCTCCGAGAGCACGCCCTTCAGCAGGGTGGGGAAGCTGGCGCCGAACACCTCCGGCGGGAGGAGGAGGAGGAGGAGGAGGAGGAGGAGGAGGAGGAGGAGGAGGAGGAGAAAGAGGAGGAGGAGGAGGAGAGGAGGAGGAGGAGGAGGAGGAGGAGGAGGAGGTGGCGGGGGAGGCGGGGGAGGAGGAGAAGGAGGAGGAGGAGGAGGAGGAGGAGGAGGAGGAGGAGGAGGAGGAGGAGGAGGAGGAGGCGGAGGAGGAGGAGGAGGAGGAGGAGGAGGAGGAGGAGGAGGAGGAGGAGGCGGGGGAGGCGGGGGAGAAGGAGGAGGAGGAGGAGGAGGAGGAGGAGGAGGAGGAGGAGGAGGAGGAGGTCCTCCGCAGGAGGTGACCTCCGTCGGTACACGCGCAGGAGAGCGGCCCAAGCTGAGCAGGAGTGCGGCCCTCTGGTGCGCGGCCCCCCGGGCTGGGGGGGGGGGGCGGGCGCGGCGGGGGCCCGACCCGAGAGCGCGTGGGGCTGCTGCTGCCGCAGGGCACTCGGCGATCGGGCGGCCCAGTGTGGGACGCCGGCAAGGTTAGGAGGCAACTACTGGGAGGTTTTCGTCGGAAAGATTAAGGACCCTGACCTTCCAGGAGGGCTGAAAAATAGCACCCGACCTAAAAACCTATCCTAGAGCTATTCTACGTCTTGGCTTTAGGCAGTTTCGCTTAGTTTCTTTAGTTTTTAGGTCTCTGGTGCTAAAAAAAAGCTCTCTGGAAGGTCAGGGGAGGATTAAGCCCCGTTTGGGAGCTGTTACGTCGGAGCGGGCCTCGGACTACGCAGTGCGGCAGGATTAAGCCGGATTGCACGGGGCAAGCGGGATTCAGCCAGATGAAGCGGGAAGCCGGATTGAGCCAGATTTCGGACCAGGGCAAAATCAGAATTTGACCTCCCAGAAATTGCATCCGAGGCAAGGGGTGTGGACCAAACTGGGCTCGGTGCTCAACAGCAAAGATGGCCGCGCCCATGTTGGATGGCACTGCCAACCTGCGGCAGTCGCACGCCGGTGTGGGCGGGCATGCTGCAGGCCCTTCTCGGCAGCCCTCAGGGGGGAGCCCTCGGGAGCTCCGTGGGACTCTGTGACCCCGTGTTGACCATGACCGCCGCTCCAATACAGAGCCCCTGTGACGCGAACGAAATGGACGGCGCCATATTTTATGAGGAAAATCCTGGAGGCCTCGCGCGGCAACTTGAGACCCGATTTACGGCGGATCCACGTCCGATTTACGTCGGGTTCACGTCGGACTGCGTCGGAATTAAGTCGGATTTACTTCGGACTGACGCAGGAGCATCGCTGCGCAAGCGTCGACCCATAGGTTACAGAACTGACGCGTGGACTAGATAGTACAACAATTACGCGCCGCGCGGGGCCTCAAGGAATTGCCTCATAACATATTCTGCAGCAGCGACAGCGGCCGCTGTTAGGCAGGCGACCTTCTGTCTCCAAGGGACCCCGTCCGCGGCGATGCCGGCAGTGAGGGACCTGCTCGAAGTGCACAAGCACTGCTGTCGGCCTTCGCCCTTCATCCTTTCCGTACCAATGTTCGGTGGCCCCGACCGGTGGGCCCGCACCATAAAGGTCACTCCAGCGCAGGGTCACCTCGAGGCCTCCTAGATGGGCTCCGAGTAGATGGGGCCGAAGCGTCGCGCCGCATCGCCGAAGCATCGCCGATGCATCGGCGCTGCATCGGCGATGCATGGGCGACGTCGGTGATGCATCGGCTACGACAGCGTGGGGAAACACGGGCTCCACATCGGGCCGCATCGCCAATGCATCGGCGATGCGGCGCGATCCTTCGACCCCATCTACCCCCTCACGCCCCAAACATCCGCAACTGTGGATCTTCCGCCCGCGGCCCCACAAGGAGGCCCCGACCCCTTCCACAGGGCCGGTTCTTCGCCCCGGATTCATGTCTGATGATCCCCGGACCCGGTAATAGGCCCCAGGTCGGCGCAGGGGGCAGTGCGAAGGAGACGGCCTGCTCAGAAGGCGGCGGGACTTCTCAGAAGCCCTCCGACCTTCTGGGAGGTTCTTGCGTCCTCGGGGAAGGCTTCGAAGACTTCTCGGAAGGCCAGGGGACTTCCGAGCCTGCTGGGGAGGCCCTTTCCTTCTCACTTCCCCCCCTCCGAGAGAGGAGGCCCAGCGGGCCTGGGCCGGGTCGGACTTCGCGAGGTCTCGATGAGCCCGATCCTCCTCGGCCCTCGATCCTCCTCGATCCTCCTCGACCCTCGATCCTCGATCCTCCTCGACCCTCGATCCCCCTCGATCCTCGATCCTTCTCGCTCGCCGCCGACCAGAGGCCGAAATCCGCGGAGAACGCCCAGGTTGAACAAACCACACGGCCGGGAGCGGCACGCCGCGGCGGCGGCCCTGGCGACACGCCATGCCTTGCGAGCGGATAGCGTGCGTCGCTCGGCTCGGCTGGGCGGGGGGGGCGGGGCAAAGCTCGGGACGCTGACACGTGGGGAATAGGGAAGTGTACAGGAGCCCAGGGACACACAAATAAATAAACACAAACCCCAGGATTGCCGATGTCTTCCCATATGTTCTGGGTTTCCGTCGCCCCCCCCATTTCCCACATGTTCCCCTGATTTTCCCGGGGATCGACGATGAATCGTGTCTCTGTGTGTGTGCTGTTCCCCCTCCTGCGAGTGGCTAACCTTAGGTCGGACGTGACCTCCTACAGGCGGGCTTTAGACGAAACATAAAAATAGCAGCAGCAGCAGCAGCAGCAGCAGCAGCAGCAGCAGCAACAACAACAACAACAACAACAACAACAACAACAACAACAACAACAACAACAACAACAACACAACCACAACAACAACAACAACAACAACAACAACCACAACAACAACAACAACAACAACAACAACAACAACAACAGCATCATCATCACCACCACCAACAACAACAACAAATACCCCAACATAGTCAAAATGGTATTTAAAAATTAGCCTGGCGAAGGACCCAACCATATGCAGCTGTGAATACCGCAATTAGCAATGCCATCTTCGCCCGCGCTCCTATGGTGCCACGAACCTTGCAAGGGGCGTGCCGACATGCGTGGCGGGGCACACAACGCGAGCGAAGACGATAGGTCTGTGTGCGAGAGACTGAGAGCGAGTGAGTCTGATTGTGGATGAGTCTGCGCGCGCGAGTCTACGCGCATCAATGTCGACGCCGATGTCGGCGCGCCTCTCACGAGGATCGCGCCCGCTTCCTTCCCGTTCTTCTTCTCCCTCTTTGCCAATGTACGCCCACGTCCAAGGCTGCGGGCGCGGCGCCGCACGGAGTCCCCGCGATGCGCGCTGGTCGCCCCGAAGGGGTCCCTGCGACGCGCGCGAGTCGTCCGCTGCGCGGAGCAGAGAGAGCGAGCAGGCTGGCTCCCGCCCGGGATGCGCGGCCCGAAAGCGGCCTCAATACGTCGAATACGACAAAAAACCTCCGGAAATCAAAATTCGCCGCCATGCGAACTCCGCCACTGGGCCGCCATGCGAGTTCCGCCACGGAGACCTTAGGTGGAGCTCCCTGTGGGGACACGAAGCGCTGTACTGGGTGGTGGATGACGCATGCGGGCGGTGCCACTGGGGCCTTCGGTGGAGCCCCCTATGGGGCCACGAAACGCTGTACTGGGTGGTGGCTGACACATGCGGGCGGTGCCACTGGGGGCTTCGGTGGAGCCCCCTATGGGGCCACGAAGCGCTGCACTGGGTGGTGGCTGACACATGCGGGCGGTGCCACTGGGGCCTTCGGTGGAGCCCCCTATGGGGCTACGAAACGGTTTACTGGGTGGTGGGTGACGCTTGCGGGCGGTCCCACTGGAGCCTTCGGTGGAGCTCCCGATGGGGCTACGAAATGCTGTGCTGGGTGGTGGATGACGCATGCGGGCGGTCCCACTGGGGCTTTCGGTGGAGCTGCCTACGGAGCCACGAAGCGCTGTACTGGGTGGTGGATGACGCATGCGGGCGGTCCCACTGGGGCTTTCGGTGGAGCTGCCTATGGGGAAACGCTGTACTGGGTGATTGATGACGCATGCGGGCGGCCCCACGGGGGCCTTCGGTGGAGCTCCCTATGGGGCCACAAAGTGCTGTGCTGGGTGGTGGCTGACGCATGCGGGCGGTCCCACTGGGGCCTTCGGTGGAGCTTCCTTATGGGCCACGAAACGCTGTACTGGGTGGTGGCTGACGCATGCGGGCGGTCCCACTGGGACCTTCGGTGGAGCCCCCTTATGGGACCACGAAACGCTGTGCTGGGTGGTGGCTGACGCATGCGGGCGGTGCCACTGGGGCCTTCGGTGGAGCTGCCTATGGGGCCACGAAACGCTGTCCTGTGGGTGGTGGCTGACGCATGCGGGCGGTGCCACTGGGGCCTTGGGTGGAGCCCCCTATAGGGCCACGAAACGCTGTACTGGGTGGTGGCTGACACATGCGGGCGGTGCCACTGGGGGCTTCGGTGGAGCCCCCTTTATGGGGCCACAAAGCGCTGTACTGGATGGACGAAACGCAAGGAAGGAGGAGGGGAAGGAGGGGGAGGAGGAGGCGGAGGAGAGGAGGAGGAGGAGGAGGAGGAGGAGGAGGAGGAGGAGGAGGAGGAGGGACGCGGGGCGCTGTCTCTTCAAAACGAGGACCCAACACCACAGGATGGTTGGGAAGAAGAAGAAGAAGAAGAAGAAGGAAACAAAAAAAACATCCCCAATCTATGTTTTAACTATTTTTGAACACTCCTCCTGTAGAGGGGCAGGCCCAACTTAAGGCTAGCGTGTTGCGCCTGGAGGGTGGTGGGCCAGAGCAGGCGGAGCGACAGGCTGAGCCCAGATCTTCCCGACCGTGCCTTCGGAGATCCTGAGAGAGAGAGAGAGAGAGAGAGAGCTGTCGTGCTGCGAGGCAGGGGTGCACGGTTTCCCCCGGGGCCGTAGGCGACCCGAGAAGGAGAAGGACCAGGAGGAGGAGGGGGAGGAGGAGGAGCAGATGGAGGAGGGAGGAGGAGGAGGAGGAGGAGATGGAGAGGAGATGGAGGAGGAGGAGAGGAGGAGAGGAAGGAGATAGGAGAGAGGGAGAGGGGGAGGAGGGAGAGGAGGAGGGAGGAGGAGGGAGGAGGAGGAGGAGAGGAGGGAGGAGGGAGGAGGAGGAGGACGGGTCGCCTAAGCCCTTCGGAGAAACCCTCCAGGAAGGGGTTGGGAAGAAGCAGGACAACACTCTGCAATAAGAGCCCATTCAACATACGCGGTAGAGAACGGATGATCTGACCTTTTCTCCCCACCCCCTCCTCCCAACCCGACAACTGTTTTTCTTAGAAGAAGAAGAAGAAGAAGAAGAAGAAGAAGAAGAAGAAGGACAAGAAGAAGAAGAAGCAGCGCCATCAACATAAACTTCTGGCGCTCCGCGCGGATCTCTTGCATCCGCGCTGGACGCCCCCTCCCCGGCGCGCGAAGCGCGCCAGGGGCGGCGCCGGAGGCGCCGCCACGAGGGGCCCCAGCGCGGATCCGAGAGATCCGCGCGCAGCGCCAAGAGCTTATGTTAATGGCGCTTTCTCTGCTTCGGCTTCTGGGATCCTGGCCATCGCTCGGACGTCCATTCCGTGTGCTTTTTTCGGTTTCGTGCGTGGTTTTCTCGCCAAATGATCCAGGATGCTCCTCGAGGGTCCTCGCCGAAGGAAAAAGGCACACGCCCGAGCGATGCCAAGAGTCTGGAGCGCCGCCGGCGCCTGGAAGACCCCGGTGGTCAGCCCCCCCACCGCGAAGAGCACCCCCGCGGAGATCGGCCACGCGCAGGGGTGGCCCCGGACAGAGGCGACCTTCGCTGCGCGACTCGGCGGGGGCCACGGGGTGGCCAAGCACGGGCGCGCAGGCCGCTGCTGCCGCTTCGCGATCCGCGATCGGGGGAGCCCATTGGGTTGTGGATGCCATGACAGTGGACACTCTAGCAATCCTAGCATTGATCTAAAAATGTGTTAAACATGTGTATAACATGTTCTAAAAACATGTCGAACATGCTCTCAACATACCTAAAACATGCTTGACGCATCCTTTAGACATCTGGAAATCCTTTCGCAACACGCTTCCTCTCCGCTGATCGCCCTCCACAACCATTGGGCCCGCACGCGAGGTCACCGCGGCGAGACGTCACCCTTTGCGCGTGGCCGAGGAGACCCAGCGCCTCCGCGGCAGCCCGGCCGGACCCCCGGCCCACTCGCCGTCGCCCTGCGCGGCCAGGCGCCGCAGGCTCTGGGAGCCGGAGGGCGGCAGCAGCGGCCTCTTGGGCAGCACAGCCCACACCTCGGGGTCAAAAAAGTGCCGACCCGGACCTCCTCGTGTTGTGAACAAACAAAAAAGGAGAAACAAAATTATCCTGGCGAAGGACCCAACCATGTGCAGTTGTGAATATCGCATTGCGGGTGCCGCTTTCGGTGGAGCTCCCTGTGGGGCCACGAAACGCTGTGCTGGGTGGGGGTGACGGATGCGGGCGGCACCACTGGGGCCGTCGGTGGAGCTCCCTGTGGGGCCACGAAACGCTGTACTGGGCGGGGGTGACGCATGCGGGCGTCACCACTGGGGCCGTCGGTGGAGCTCCCTGTGGGGCCACGAAACGCTGTGCTGGGTGGGGGTGGCGCATGCGGGCGGCACCACTGGGGCCTTCGGTGGAGCTCCCTGTGGGGCCACGAAATGCTGTGCTGGGGTGGGGGTGACGCATGCGGGCGGCACCACTGGGGCCTTCGGTGGAGGTCCCTGTGGGGCCACGAAACGCTGTGTTTGGTGGAGGTGCCGAAATGGGTGTGCGGGACGCATGCGAGCGGTGGCACTGGGGCCTTCGGTGGAGCTCCCTATGGGGCCACGAAACGTGTGAGGGGTGTGCCGAACTGGGTGTGGCTGACGCATGCGGGCTGGGGCCACGAAACGTGTGAGGGGTGTGCCGAATTTTTATGTGGCTGACGCATGCGGGCGGCGGCACTGCGGCGGGCGGCGGCACTGGGGCCTTCGGTGGAGCTCCCTATGGGGCCACGAAACGTGTGAGGAGTGTGCCGAACTGGGTGTGGCTGACGCATGCGGGCGGCGGCACTGGTGCCTTCGGTGGAGCTCCCTATGGGGCCACGAAACGTGTGAGGGGTGTGCCGAATTGGGTGTGGCTGACGCATGCGGGCGGCGGCACTGGGGCCTTCGGTGGAGCTCCCTATGGGGCCACGAAACGTGTGAGGGGTGTGCCGAATTGGGTGTGGCTGACGCATGCGGGCGGCGGCACTGGGGCCTTCGGTGGAGCTCCCTATGGGGCCACGAACGTGTGAGGGGTGTGCCGAATGGGTGTGGCTGACGCATGCGGGCGGCAGCACTGGTGCCTTCGGTGGAGCTCCCTAATGGGGCCACGAAAGCGTGTGAGGGGTGGTGCCGAATTGGGTGGTGGCTGAACGCATGCGGGCGGCGGCACTGGTGCCTTCGGTGGAGCTCCCTATGGGGCCACGAAACGTGTGAGGGGTGTGCCGAATTGGGCGTGGCTGACGCATGCGAGCGGTGGCACTGGGGCTTTCGGTGGAGCTCCCTATGGGGCCACGAAACGTGTGAGGGGTGTGTCGAATTGGGTATGGCTGACGCATGCGGGCGGCAGCACTGGGGCCTTCGGTGGAGCTCCCTATGGGGCCACGAAACGTGTGAGGGGTGTGCCGAATTGGGTGTGGCTGACACATGCGGGCGGCGGCACTGGGGCCTTTGGTGGAGCTCCCTATGGGGCCACGAAATGTGTGAGGGGTATGCCGAACTGGGTGTGGCTGACGCATGCGGGCGGCAGCACTGGGGCCTTCGGTGGAGCTCCCTATGGGGCCACGAAACGTGTGAAGGGTATGCCGAATTGGGTGTGGCTGACGCATGCGGGCGGCAGCACTGGGGCCTTCGGTGGAGCTCCCTATGGGGCCACGAAACGTGTGAGAGGTGTGACGATGATGGTGATGATGACGATGATGGTGGGTGATGACGATGACGATGATGATGATGATGATGATGATGATGATGATGATGATGATGATGATGATGATTATGATGATGAAGACGATGATGATGATGATGATGATGATGATGATGATGATGATGATGATGATGATGATGATGATGATGATGATGATGATGATGATGCTGATGGGAGGAGGGAGGAGGGGGAAGAGGAGGAGGAGAGGAGATGAGAGGAACGCGGGGCACCGTCTCTTCAAAACGAGGACCCAACACCACAGGATGGTTGGGAAAAAGTGCCGACCCAGACCTCCTCGAGTTGTGAAAAAAACAGCCAAAAACAAAAAAAACAAAAAACAAAAAAAAAAAAAAAAAAAAAAAAAAAAAAAAACACAAAAAAAAAAAAAAAACGGCGGGAGGTTTTTCACTATTTTCGGCCTCCGGGGGCCCTCGCCGGGCCCTGGGAGCGTCAAAACACGACTCAGGACGACAAGCCGGTCCCCGGGAGGAGGTCCAGACCTCTCGGGGCTTACGTTGTAAAAAATCACGACGTCGGGGGTCTGGGGATACCGCTAACGTTTCCTTCCCTTGCTTTCGCCTTGTTAGGGCCTCAGGGGAGGCCTTCGTCGCCCCGGCTGGATTCGCCTCGAAGTCCTGGTCCGCACGCACCCCGGGAGAGGTCCAGGGAGCATCGGTAGCGGTTTCTCTGGGTTCCCCCAACACCAGCGCCACGGCCACGGAGCTGGCGGCCTCCGCCGCCATGAGCGCCTGCAGCGCCTAGAGGGAGAAGAAAATGCATAAACGAACAAACTTTCGGAGCTCTGCGCGGGTCTGTTGGCGCTGTTCGAGGGGGCACACAAGTGGGGTAAGGGCAAAGGTGGCGTTGGAGAGAAAATCGCTCCGGACGGCCCCTGGAAGGAAGAAACGCGTTAAACGGGAGCATCCGGCTGGGCCCGTTCCCCAACCCCACTTTGGGAGAACCCCCCTCTACGAACCCCCGAGCTGTGCCCCCCTGGCGCCGCCTCCGGCGGCCAATCCAAGAAATCTGCGTGGAGCTCCAGAAGCTTATGCTGATGCCGCTTGTTCTTCTTCGAGCGCCTCCGGGGTGTGCACGGGCAGCGCCAGCAGGAAGCCTAGCGCAGGAGCGCCCGCCTGGATCGAGAAGACCGTCGCGGTCGCGAAGGCCCGCTCCGCCGGCGGGAACCACATTGCCGCGAGGAGCGACGGGGTCACCGCGTTCATGGGCCCGGCGCAGCCGTTCAGCATCTGCCCGCCGTGCAGGAACCACCTCGCCGCCTCGGATGCGGGGTCCACGAACGGCAGCACGCTCGGGGCCAGCCTGAGCAGGCTGCCAGCGGCTGTCAGCATGGCGCCAGCCAGGATTGTCGCCCACACGCCGTTCTCCCCGCGTTTGGCCCCGTAGGTCACCAGTGGCACCACTGGCAGGTACATGATCGGCCCCCAGTTGAGCAGCAAGTCGATGGTCGCCTTCTCATCCACCAGCGCGTAGTACCGCTTCGTGACGTCCGGATTCCCGCTGAGGGTCATCCAGACTAGACCCTGCATCATCCCCAACCAAAACATGACCAAGAGGATGACCCATCGAATTGGAGTAAGGCCAACCATAGGCCAAACTTCCGCGCAAGGGACCCTCTGCACGACGGCAAAACATTGAGCCGAAAATGGCTATCAACGAGGGGTGACGAGTACAATCCGGAGGATGGACAAAATTACAATGGGAGGACAGAGAACTGACGAATGGGATAACTAAAGGGCGCAAGGAGGAAGAGCAGCAGTCGCATCAGGGGGGATAAGTTCAGAAGCAAGAACCTCAAATCTTCCTCACTCCTCATCGTCTCCGTCATCAGCATCACTCACCACCCATCCGTACTCCTCCTCCTCCTCCTCCTTTTCCTCCTCCTCCTCCTCCTTCTCCAAGTCCTCCTCTTCATCTTCCTCCTCCCACCTCACCCATCACCCTTCACCCCTCACGCATCACGCGCCACGTATCGCTCTCCTTACACATCACCTCCGCCTCCTCCTCATCCTCCTTCTCATCCTCCTCCTGCTCCTACTCAACCTCCTCATCCACCTCCACCTCATCCTCCTCCTCCTGAACCTCCTCCTCCTCCGCCTCGTACACCTCTTCCTCCTCCTGCTCCTCCTCCTCTTCCTCCTTCTCCTGCTCAACAGAATCACCATGTGGCAGGTGTTCATGAGATCGCGCTTATATGATTGTAAGCAAGTGCAGGCACCATGGCTTCAGAACCCATCACAATCGGAACCCAACGATTCAGAAGCTCAGGAGTTCGAGAACTGTACGTTCGTAAATACACTGAGTTAGCAAACATCGATCAGAGCATCTGCCAACGTTGAAGAACCTGTAAACACCTGAGCTTTTTAAATCCGAGCCTGCTTATATGTCCGAAGCGGCTCATTAAGTCCAAATCTGGTTTGTGAACTAAGTAAGCTCCAAATGTTAGCCAGCGTGGACCCACACAGGTTTTCCTGGCAATGATATTCGTAGCACCCCGAAGATGCGGATAAGAGTGAGGGGGCGGTGGGGACGTTGGCAGTTTGCGAGTCTCTGGAGAAATCCGCCGCAGGAGCCAAAGTTTCACTAAGCATACAACGAGACCACCGCAGGCGCCGACTTTTTTGTTAAACCAATGTGGGTAGGTTGCGGGTGGGTCGCTGGTGGGTCGCAAGTGGGTCGCGGGTGGGTCGCGGGTGGGTCGCGAGTGGGTCGCTGGGCTGTTGGGGTCGGCGGGCGGGTTCGCGGGTGGGTCGCGGGGGGTCGCGGGTGGGGTCGCGGGTGGGTCTCGGGTGGGTCGCGGGTGAGGTCGCTGTTGGTCGCGAGGGGTCGCGGATGGGTCGCGGGGGGTCGCGGGGGGTCGCGGGTGGATCGCGGGTGCGTTCGCAAGTGGGTCGCGCGTGGGTCGCGGGTGGGTCGCGGATGGGTCGCTAGTGGGTCGCAAATGGGTCGTGGGTGGGTTCCGCGGGTGGGTCGCGGAGTGGGTCGCTGTTCGGGTCGCGGGCGGGTTCGCGGGTGGGTCGCGGGTGGGTCGGCGGGGGGGTCGCGGGTTGGGTCGCGGGTGGGTCGCGGGTGAGTCGCGGTTGGGTTCGCGGGCGGGTCGCGGGTGGGTAGCGGTGTGGGGTTCGCTGGGTGGTTCGCGGGTGGATCGCGGGTGGGTCGCAAGTGGGTCGCGGGTGGGTCGCGGGTGGGTCGCGGATGGGTCGCGAGTGAGTCGCGGGTGGGTCGCGGGTGGGTCGTGGGTGGGTCGCGGATGGGTCGCGGGTGGGTCGCAGATGGGTCGCGGGTGGGTCGTGGGTTGGGTCGCGGGGGTGGGTCGCGGGGTGGGTCGCGGGGTGGGTCGCGGGGTGGGTCGCGGGGTGGGTCGCGAGGTGGGTCGCGGGGTGGTCGCGGGGTGGGTCGCGGGGTGGGTCGCGGGGTGCGTCGCGGGTGGGACGACGACAACAAACATTAACAACAACAACAACAACAACAACAACAACAACAACAACAACAACAACAATCATTTAAGACTGGGGACACTCCGTTCTCACCAGTGCCAGGGTTTTCATAGGAGGCGGGCAATACCCCACTTTGTGGGGGGGCCGGTTCAAGCTCTACCAAATTTCCATACGACTCTTCGCCACCACCCACACCCAGCTTCCCGCCCTATGACGTTCGGACACTTCACTTCGTGGCATGCGGACGACCGTGGCTACTATTCAGGGCCCCGCGGCCGACGACGACGGCGTGCGCGCGCGAAGAAAAAACGAATGTGTCCAATATGGTATTATTTGACAGGGATGATGGCCTTGGCATGCGCGCAACCGTTGTTGCAGAAGTTCGATGCACGTGAAAAAGTTGCTCGCAAGAGCCCGTTTGACAGAAATGTTGAAAAAATATTGGGTTTCCTCAGAAATCCGCAAGAGCGCGCAAGATGAATTTTTGAAACTTTTTTTTTGAAAAACCATTGGGTTTTTTCATGTTTTTATGTTAAAATCGCTACGAAAACTAAGGTTTTGGAAGGATTTCATCTTGCGCGCGCGAGTGTGCACTTCGTGTCATTTTTTCAAAGGATTCTTGAAGTTTGGTTATGTTAGAACAAGAAATTTCATTTTATAGTGTTTTTTGCAAGGGAAAACGGGGGACAACAAAACAACCGGATCCGGACACCCACGTTTTGCCTGAGACTTCCTGACGAAAATGATGAAAATGTGGCTGCGGCCTAGGCGCGGCGAGGGGGCCGCGCACCAGGGGTCCCAACAATAATTATTCTTTAGAATAAATAATGTTCAACAACAACAGCAACAACAACAACAACAACAACAACCATTTTAAGGCTGTGCGCTCTTACTTGCCCGCGAGTCATTCAACACGTATACCCTACACCCTCGATACCCGCCCTCTTCGTCTTCGATCACACCCCTTTCGGGGGGATTATTTCTCTTTGCTGGGGCCGGCGGGCTTAGACGTACGGGCCAACCGGAACGGGCGGACAATCCTTCGGGGGCGTACATCTCTCTGCCCGCCATTGGAATTGGCGCGGGCCCTGCAAGAGGAGGAGGGGAAGAACGAGGGAGAGTGGGAGGAAGGGGAGGGGGAAGGACGAAGGAAGAGGGAAGATACCACGGTGTGAAGGCGTCCTTGGCGCGCGCGTGGTTCCTGAGCGCCGAAACGCAATTCCAGAATAATTTGTGAGGGACGTCGCACGCGATGAGCGCAGCCTGGAGTACTGTGAGGAAATCTCCAAGCGGAAATCGGGGGGCCCTGACTAAGTTGCGAGGAAGTCTCAAGCGGGAGCGCCGTTCCTGAGCAAATTGCACGGAAGTCTCAGGCGGGAGCGGGGGTCCTCACTAAATTGCGAGGAAGTCTCAAGCGGGAGCGCCGTTCCTGAGCCAATTGCATGGAAATGTCAAGCAGGAGCGGGGGTCCTAAGTAAAATCCGAAGAAATCTCAAGCGGGAGCGCCGTTCCCACGTAAATTGCACGGAAGTCTCAGGCGGGAGCGGGGGTGTTGATTACATTGCGAGGAAGTCTCAGACGGGAGCGCCTTTCCTGAGTAAATTGCGCGGAAGTCTCAGGCGGGAGCGGCAGTCCTGAGCAAAAATGGAGGAAGTCTCAGGCGGGAGCCGTTGTTGTTGTAGCCCGGGGGGCAGGGGCACAGTTTGAGCAGGAAGACTTTCCTTGAGAAAAAACAAGGTGCGAGCCCCGGGGGTGGCACTTCAATCGAAAAAAATCAATGTGCACCGGTGGGGGGGGGATCAACAATAATTATTCTTCAAGAATGAGAGTTCAACAACAACAACAACAACAACAACAACAACAACAACAACAACAACAACAACAATCATTTAGACTGGGGACACTCCGTTCTCACCAGTGCCAGGGTTTTCATAGGAGGCGGGCAATACCCCCACTTTGTGGGGGGGCCGGTTCAAGCTCTACCAAGTTTCCAAACGACTCTTCGCCACCACCCACACCCAGCTTCCCGCCCTATGACGTTCGGACACTTCACTTCGTGGCATGCGGACGACCGTGGCTACTATTCAGGGCCCCGCGGCCGACGACGACGGCGTGCGCGCGCGAAGAAAAAACGAATGTGTCCCGCATGGTATTATTTGACAGGGATGATGGCCCTGGCAGGTGCGCAACCGTTGTCGCAGAAGTTCGAAAAAGTTGCTCGCAAAAGCCCGTTTGACAGAAATGTTTAAAAAGTGTTGGTTTTCCTACGAATCCGCAAGAGCGCGCGGGATGAGATTTTGACATTTTTTTGTTGAAAAACCATTGGTTTTTTGATGTTTTTATGTTAAAATCGCTTCCGAACACTAAGCTTTTGGAAGGATTTCGTCTTGCGCGCGCGAATGTCCACTTTACCTTATTTTTTGCAAGGGATTCTTGAAATTTGATTATATTAGAACAAGAAATGTCATTTTATAGTGTTTTTTGCAAGGGAAAACGGATTACAACAAAACAACCGGATCTGGATCACATCGTTTTACCCGAGGCTTCCTCACGAAAATGATGAAAATGTAGCTGCGGCCTAGGCGCGGGGGGGGGGGCGTGCACCAGGGGGCCCAACAATAATTATTCTTTAGAATTAATAATGTTCAACAACAACAACAACAACAACAACAACAACAACAACAACAACAACAACAATCACTTTACCCGAACGCTCAGTGTTCTCACCCGTGCCAGGGTTTTCATGCGACGCCAGCCAATACCCCCACTTTGTGGGGGGGCAGTGCAAGCTCTACCAAATATCCACACGACTCTTCGCCACCACCCACACCCAGCTTCCCGCCCTATGACGTTCGGACACTTCACTTCGTGGCCTGCGGACGACCGTGGCTACTACACTGGCGTGGAGTACACACCCACAGAAGTTGTTAAGCCTACTTCGTACACCCACAGAAGTTGTTAAGCCTTGTTAACCCACAGAAGTTGTTAACCCACGGTGCGATTCGTGTGATTTTATGATGCGCGGTGCCAAAATTCTTAAGAACCCAATGGTTTTTGGAGATTTCGGCGTGCGCGCGCGAAGAAAAAACGAATGTGTCCCGCATGGTATTATTTGACAGGGATGATGGCCCTGGCAGGTGCGCAACCGTTGT